ATGCTACATTTTAGGATTACGTATGCTCCAACAAGGTCCTGCCTGCGACGCGCTAATGAGATCCAAAAAGATCGAAATCGCGATCCGCGTCTGGCAGTTTCGACAGAATACAGACCACTTCGAATTATTTTACAAGTAATAATTATTTGGATAGCAAAAATCTTCTCCAATTGATACCAAGCTTGTATCTTTTGAAAATGCTTCGCTTGTTTGATTGCATTGCATGGATGTGTGTGGTACAATTTTATTATGTTATGATGATATGTATCTTATTATTATGACGATCGAGATGTAGTGGAGGTGTTGGTATAGGCTCGCGTAGGTACTTACGAACACAGGTGGGTAGTTCCTTGGGAAACCAAAGTCCATCTGCTTGGCACACTCTTTCTTGACGCCCAACCAACTCATATCCATCAGCACAATGATAATTAATTTTACAACCGAACGTGTAGCATTCCCCTACGTGCCAACCATGCGGTAAAGTTGTTGGTGTTCCACAGGATCGAGCTACAGGGAGTCATAAAAATCATACGAAGGAAGTATATGCGGGTTATTTTAGGAAGGCGAAGCTCGCAATAAATTATTGTAATCAAGATGACCTATTTTACTTAAGTTGCTTGACATACTTTTAATATGTAATCTAATGTAATTATTTGAATGGCCTCACGCGATAAATGAATTAATGGAAGTTTATTTTGGTGAAGAAATGGAAAAGGAAGTCTGCTTCCTCCAGGTTATTTTGAATTTTAAGTTAATGTCTTTATGCAATAAATGGATCAATGGAAGTTTATTTTGGTGTAAGTTGGGTAACAGGAATGAAAAAATAAATCTGCTTCTCCCAGGTTATTTTGAATGAATTTAAGTGTTTGTTCTTACCCGATAAATGGATGAATGAAAGTTCATTTTGGTGTAAGTTGGGTAAAGAAATGGAAAAAGAAATCTGCTTCTCCCAGGTTATTTTGAATGAGTTTAAGTGTCTGTTCTTACCCGATAAATGGATCAATGGAAGTTTATTTTGGTGTAAGTTAGGTTACAGAAATGGAAAAATAGATCTGCTTCTCCCAGGTTATTTTGAATGAATTTAAGTGTCTGTTGTTATCCGATAAATGGATCAATGGAAGTTTATTTTGGTGTAGGTTGAGTTACAGAAATGGAAAAATAGATCTGCTTCTCCCAAGTTATTTTAAATGAATTTAAGTGTCTGTTCTTACCCGATAAATGGATCAATGGAAGTTCATTTCCTCCAGGTTATTTTAAATTTTAAGTGAATGTCCTTACGCAATAAATGAATGAATGAAAATTCATTTTTGATGCAAATTAAGTCGACATAATGAACTGCCTTTGTTTCAAGTTAAATAATTTATCACGGATTTCGCTTACCCAAAGCGACCCAAATTTAGCTGATTTAGTTACAAACAAAAATATATCCGTACGTTCGCATGAGATGTCTGGTCCGTACCAACTTGCTTGACCATCAATAGCTAAACATTTTGCTCTTGGAAAACCGTTTGTCACATATCCAGTATGACAAAAGTATTGTAATGTAGAGTCCAAATCGAAAGTGGTTTGTTCCGGTAGGGCGTTATGTCTCGCATGTTCGATGACGGGCGGTGACAAACAATAAACTAACAAATGCAAAAAGTTTTATGAATACTTCAGATCAAGTCAAACATTAAATATGTATAAAGAAAGGTCTACACGTTTGAAGGTGGAACTTTCTATTTTAAGTATCCCTTAATAATAATAATGATAATCCCTTTCTTCTAGAATAAACAATATTGAAAAACATCGGAGGTTTTTAAAGTGATGGTTAGTTACCTCCCAACATTTAATTGAGATACATATACGTAGAAGTAAAATACTTGTTTGAAGTCATTTTCTACATACTATTTTGTTTACATGCCGGAGGACTTCCAGCCCATTGTCCATCAGCCTGACAGCTTCTACTTTGCAAACCGACTACATGATACCCATGCTGGCAAGTGTACGACGCTCTAGCACCAAAAAGTCTTCCGCTAGCTATAACCGATCCCAAAGGAATTTGTTCTGGTTCTGGGCATTCCCTATCTAAAAAGGATTCACAAAATGTCTATAGGAATAGTCAGAAAATTTTGCTATCAATTGATCACACCAAGGTTTAGCAAATCAGTAAAGAGTTTTGTTGACTTGTCGTAAGCCTGTCGAAAAGAAAATACTTTTAGGTGTTTCATTCCCACCAGCTACTAATGCTGGTGGGCGGGTAATACCTCTTCAGCCTGCTTTCAGGAATCGTGGAAATGGGTGGGTGGTGGTTCGGGTGAGAAAGATGAGACGGACAAAATGAAGATAGAAGAGACTGAAAGATTATCTGTGGAATGTTACTGCTCCAGCATTTACCTAAGTGATCCAAGGAAACCACAGAAAAACTTGGACCAAGAAGATAGACGGACCCGGAGGCTGTCGATAAATTATAGTACGTCTCTTACAGAGGGATGAACTTTTCTCATTAGTAAAGGATAAGATAATGTGACAAAAATATGAATTTAAACAGTCTTTACACTTAATAAAGTCAACAAATACGGGAGAGACATGCTTGAAACCTAGCTGTCGTAATTAGCAAGAATGATTTTTTTTACCTGGTTTAATACAGGACATCCCGCATGCTCCATCGCACAAACATTTCTTTTTCTTGCTTTTGCAATCTTCGTCTGAAGAACATTTTCGTAGGCACTTTTGACCCTGAAAGTAATTAACTCTTCAAATTGTTAAATACATGTAGATAATTCCAAAAAACATGAATATTATTACTCAGAAAACAAAAACAAATTAAATTTTTACAGTTGTAGGTTGTCTGGATAATGCTTGATATTTGGACTTGATGGTCCTGGTATGACGAGTGCCATTGCCTGCATCCGCAACGTTTGGAATTAATTAAATATTAACACCTAACCCTACCTTGATAAAACGTAATGATAGTGAGCGAAACGTTAGATCTGGTTGTCGATTAAATATTATTATTAGTTTTATCAGTTTACCAGTAAAGCTGCTTGTTCTTCATCTCTTGGACATTGGCTAGAAGGTGAATTTCGGGGATTTTTATAAATTTTTCCGTCGTCTTCTATTTCAGTTGATTCATCTTCATCCCAGTCTTCATCGGGATCGACTGTTGTTGATGAAATTGTAGTTACATCCGAAGTAACAGTAACGTGTGCTGAAAAAAAATAAATCAACTTTTTCTGCTTTTTATTACACCATTCCTTCATCAACTAGATAATTAGGTACAAGAAAAACGCGCACCGGAACTTCAACAAAACAAAAATTTGATCACTATTATTGTCAAATTTTTAAACTGGACTAGATAAGTTTCGCATGTATGATTTACTTTACCATTTCAGTTATCTCAAAACTTCTACGATTTTGTGTTAGCGTGTGTAAGAAGTAAGAATCGTATTAAGTTAAAAGTAATCGAAAATTATTTGAATTAATTAATTGAAAATAAAACACAATGGGCACTTACCTTGTCTTAAAATGATAATAGTAGCAATTATCAAGAATGTTTTATAATACATCTTCGATAGTAATTTACATTGATACTAATTCATAATTGCCGGTAGTAAACATTCACAAAACAGCAGCATTTAGGGAATGGGCATTTCGAAATCAAAGTTTGTGCCTGCATTAAATTTTATTGTATTAATTTGTTTTATTTGCTTACGCCGTAACACACAAATTAACCCATTTCGTGAAATGGTAATTTACGCGAATGATATTATTATTAATACTACAAACGCACTTGTTTTCCGTACGATTCTCTCAAACGCTGGATCTATTTTTGTTTAGGTAAGCAACACGCAAATTATCCCAGAAATCCAGAACGCGCGACTGCAGCTATCCAGAACCTGTCAGGATTCTGTGCTATCTCTGAATTTTCAGGAGTTCGATTTTCACCCGAAATACCACGAAATGTTTCGAACGATGCCAGAAAATAAGGGATGCTTTATCTTCCCTTCTTTTCTTAAAACGCAATTTTTCTTTTTTATATTCTTTTTGTTTTTACATTTTTTAACTTTACTAAATATATCGATGGTATATAGTGACCTCGACAACNCTCTTGATTTTTTAAATTCTTGAATTTATAATTACTAGACTATAAAATATAAACCGTGTTTATTTGCTTAATGTTTTTAGATAGGAATGTTCATTTGAATGAATACCTTGCTCATTAATATTACGCATAATTTTATTGTTTAACTGACAGCTGCCCTAATAAATAATGATCCAGTTTCTAGGTGTTCATGTTATTCGACTGCTGTAAGGCGATTTATGTATTGTGGCTTCTTCACTTGCTTTTGCATCAATATTGTTCTTCATTTTTTCATTAATTTGAAATTAAACTATTTGGTTTATGTTTATAAATATTTTTTGTTTTTAAAACGTATCAGTTGACAACGTCGTGTGACTTTCATTTAAGTTAAATGTATATTCAAGTTAAAAGTGTGACCTTGCTTTTAAGAACAAACCCGTTTTTAGTGTTTTAAAATTAATAATTTATGTTTTGCAAATACATGTGTAAATCTTCGTCTTTTTAACGTACCAAAACAGCTTACTTTTCTTGTATGCAGGAGTCAACATGAATCAGACGATGGGTGGTCGGAATTTTGTAGAAATAATGATTCCGGGTCCAAAAGTCGGCCTTATCATTGGAAAAGGCGGTGAAACCATCTTATATTTTTATTCTTAATTTTTATTTATACGTTTATGCATATTTTTTATTTATAATGTTTTTAATTTGGTAAGTTTGGCATTTGGTACTACTGCTTTCTACCGGTGACGCCACTGTATGCAGTGGACGCCATTTTACGCTTAAATACGCTGCTTACAGTTTTAGTGTCAGTTAAAGCAAAGAATGAGTGAATATTCAGCTGTAGCTCCTCCTCAGCAAAATTTTAATCAATCTTCAGCCTTTGCTGCAGCTTTACAAAGAGCAAAGCAGGTAATTTTTATAAATTTAATTAAAGACATTTGGTTTCATGTGCTTGTACGGCTATTATTGGCGTATGGCGGTTACTGTTTTAATAGTTTTTAATAGTTGTTTATGCAAAGCCGAGATTACTGATGGATTTTTTCTGTAATAGATTGCTGCTAAAATAAATCCCAACAGTACTACTGGAGATACTAGAACTAAACGGCCATTAGAGGATGGTGCAGGTTAGTTACTTATCTACCTAATTTAATCAACAGTTACTAAGTTTTTGGTATTGTAGAACCAGATGCAAAGAAAATTGCAGGTGGTTTAGCTGGAGCAGCAGCAGCTGCAGCTCAAGCTTCTGCGAGAGGTGCACCACAAAATCAGACTACCATTCCAAATATGGGAGGACCTCCAGGTGTTGGTGGAGGCCCTAGTCAAGGTCAAGGACCACAATTTAATGAAGATATTAAAGTTCCTGACAAAATGGTTGGACTAAGTAAGCTCATTTTTATTTGCTGTTTTGTAAAAGTACTTGTGCCTGTCTTTAAAACATCGCATAAAAGCAGTCGCAGCTGTCAGTTATAATCAAAAGCGGTCTTAGTTGCATTGACTACTTTTAATTTCCTTCATTAGTGTAGGTGTTTGTGTGTGAAATTTCAGAATTTCTTCAAATTAAAATCGTAATTGTGTTCATGAATTGGAAGCCCTTTTAATAAATTGGTGCAAATGCAATTGCTGAAGTATTAAAAATAATTTTTGTCTAGGCAATACAAGTACATGTGTATGCATTTGATCTTTATAATTGCAAGTCAGAGTGTTACGAAGGACAAATGCTTTGAAATTAATGAAGTTCATATTAATATGAAACTGTAAAGTTAGAAATTTGGGGTCCTATTTTTATTTTGTACATATGTTGATTAATATATTAGACTATTCATATTAAAAGCTAATACAAACTGGCAGATGTGTCGTTAATAAAAAGAATAATAAAATAATGGCATTGTCTAGGATAAAAAAGTGATTAAAGGTGATATGTGATAATGGGTCTTCCTCTCTTTGTTACTTGTTAAACATTTAAATAAAATGATACTTATTGGGGTTGGGCTTATCAGGATAAAGACTTGGTTTATACCACAAATTTATTTTAAGACTGTTGTGTCAATCAAGTCATACTTGAACAACAGTAGATTTATATATTGATTCAAACAGGCTTTATCAACAGGTGCGTTCTTTTTTACATATGGTACACTAGTTAGGGATCTGTTCATATATATGCATCCAATGTATCTACATAATAAAATAACAGAAAAAGTAATTATTATCTTTTTGTAAAGTAGCCTGTTTTCATTGTAAATGTGCAGTAAAAACTTTAAATTCTCCCTGGCTGTATTTGAGATACAACACTTATCATCCAGAAACGTGGTTAGTAATTATGGTGAAGACTAATTGCCATTATGTAAGTAGTTTTAACGTTTTATTTCCGATTTTAAATAGTTTTGATAATCTTATCAGCTTAGTTGTCAGTCGAATGTAAGTACAACGTGAAAAACTAAATAATTTAGAAAATGTGAGATTAGTAATTAGATTTTTTTATTTTGGTAATTTTCGGTCGTTTCCAGTAATCGGCAGAGGCGGCGAGCAGATCACTCGATTACAAGCGGAAACGGGTTGCAAGATCCAAATGGCTCCTGACTCGGCCGGTCTGCCCGAACGCGCATGCTCGCTATCGGGCACCCGTGACGCCATTAACCGAGCCAAGGAGCTCATCATGAATATCGTTCAACAGCGCGGTCGGACCGAAGGTCTAGGGGGCGCGGACTTGGGTCCAGGGATGGGTGGACAAGATGCGAATTTCCCGCCAGGTAATTGCAACCAAACAATAACTAAAAATTTGACGAACCAGCAGAACAATCTTGTCCCCATCCCTATTAACCCTGGTCTTCCCATATTTAGTTTCGTATTAGTATGGTTTTTATTAATAAGCAGTTGCTAATCTTTATTAGAATTATAAAAGGCTGTATTATTTTTTTTAAGAGCGTTATAATCCTTGAGATAAAATATTTTTCAAAAATCAAATATAATTTTTGCAAGTAGGCAATCAGTATGTGTTTTAGTGTATTTAAGTTAAATTCACTTCAGTTTTTCAGTGTCGGGTTTTATTATGTGGTTTTCTTTTTTTTTTTGAAGGATTGTGAAACGTTTTAGAAAGAGACTTTAGTAAGTTGTTTAGTATAGGGTATATTCGCTGTAACTTTTCTTTTTATGAGAAAACTTGGCCTAGTTAACAGACACCTACTAGCTGCTTACTTATTGTATGGTATTTACCATGCTAAACCTTTTTATTTGACTTTTTCTATAACAATTATGGTTATTACAGAAAGTACATGCACTGTAGTTGAAAGGAATAGACTATTCCATATACCTTATACATCCATTTTATGTCTTGTGGCATTCTTTATTAATGATAGTAGTTTTATTAATATTTCGCTATATATACATACATATGTATAGTAAAAGTAAATATTCAATATTTAGGTAATATGCTTATCATTCAATTTAATTAGTAACTGGGCAGTACAAACATTTCTCTAAAATTGTGAATGGGTGTTATAATATTTTCCATATGATAATCAGTTTAATGCCTCTTGATTTTTTAAATTCTTGAATTTATAATTACTAGACTATAAAATATAAACCGTGTTTATTTGCTTAATGTTTTTAGATAGGAATGTTCATTTGAATGAATACCTAGCTCATTAATATTACGCATAATTTTATTGTTTAACTGACAGCTGCCCTAATAAATAATGATCCAGTTTCTAGGTGTTCATGTTATTCGACTGCTGTAAGGCGATTTATGTATTGTGGCTTCTTCACTTGCTTTTGCATCAATATTGTTCTTCATTTTTTCATTAATTTGAAATTAAACTATTTGGTTTATGTTTATAAATATTTTTTGTTTTTAAAACGTATCAGTTGACAACGTCGTGTGACTTTCATTTAAGTTAAATGTATATTCAAGTTAAAAGTGTGACCTTGCTTTTAAGAACAAACCCGTTTTTAGTGTTTTAAAATTAATAATTTATGTTTTGCAAATACATGTGTAAATCTTCGTCTTTTTAACGTACCAAAACAGCTTACTTTTCTTGTATGCAGGAGTCAACATGAATCAGACGATGGGTGGTCGGAATTTTGTAGAAATAATGATTCCGGGTCCAAAAGTCGGCCTTATCATTGGAAAAGGCGGTGAAACCATCAAACAGTTACAGGAAAAAAGCGGCGCTAAAATGGTTGTCATCCAAGAGGGTCCTAACCAGGAAGTAGAGAAGCCCTTGCGTATCAGTGGTGATCCACAGAAAGTTGAATATGCCAAACAACTTGTGTATGATTTAATTGCTGAAAAAGAAATGCAAAACTTTAACAGAAGGGGACAAGACAACAGACAACAGCAACAGTTTAACGATTATGGGGGTGGAAATAATGAAATGGAGGTAAAGACAGTATTATTTTTGTTTTGTTTTGTACCTTTAAAGATAGAAATTTTGTTCTTTATACACTTACAGTACTTAAAAGAAATGTTTTGTTTATACTCATAATAGCATTAGCACTTCTTTAATAGGTTTTAGTGCCACGCCCGGCCGTAGGGGTTGTCATCGGCAAAGGGGGCGACATGATAAAAAAAATTCAGGCAGAAACAGGGGCACGCGTCCAATTTCACCAAGCAAAGGAGGAAGGACCGGGTGACCGTCGCTGTTATTTATCAGGTCGTCCTCAAAATGTGGAACAGGCACGCTTACGAATTGAAGAGCTTATTGAAAGCGTCTGTGGAAATAGGGCGGGAGGCGGCGGCGGCGGCGGTGGTCGTGGTGGTCGTGAACGCTTTGATGGTCGCGGAGGAAACAGGAATGGGGGTGGACAAGAATATGGGGGTGGGTGGGATGATAGAAGACCACCGCAACAGCCCCAAGAGGTTACTTTCACTGTTCCAAGTAACAAGTGTGGAATTATAATAGGTCGAGGTATGACTTTCATGTATTAATCCAGAGTCTTTAATTTTTATTAAATTCTGTAAAACATGTTTTAATAGTATTTTAATGACAAGTTTATATTCAGTTGCTGTGATCATATTTATGTAATGACTTATTGGCCTTCTTTGCTATGATTTCTTTTGTAATGCGTATGTGGTTTTTTGTTACGTAGGGGGAGAAACTATAAAACAGATTAATCAACAGTCAGGGGCCCATTGTGAATTAGATCGAAGATCTCAAAATCAACAAGACAAAACGTTCATTATAAGGGGTGATCCGGAACAAATTGAGACCGCAAAGAGAATAATAAGTGAAAAAGTACAAATCCCATTGAACTTCATTACTGTTGGTGGTGGAAACAGTAATTTACCGACAGTGAGTATTTTTAGCAACACAAACGACCTTAATGCATTGCAAAAAGTCCAATTACTCCCTTTTTGTACATGATGTATGTATATTTATTTTAAAAGCACTGCGTATAAGGGCGGCTGTTTAGAAGCAAAAAATATTTGGTATTTTTTTAAGGCGTATCCTGGAATGGCACCACAAGGTTACAATCCTCAGGGTTGGGGTGCACCTGCCTATCAGCAACAGTGGGGTGCTCCACATCAATCGACTGACCCATCAGTAGCAGCTGGTGTACAACAAAATTCAAATCCCAATGCAGTTCAAATGAATCCCGCCACAGGACAAGCTGATTATTCACTCCAATGGGCCGAATACTACAGATCGTTGGGAATGCACCGGGAAGCTGAAATTATTGAGCAACAGGTAGTAAAATGTTTGTTTATTTTGTATTTTTTTGTATAGGTGATTCTGTTTGACTTTAACCGATGAAAGATTAATTTCCATTTAAACTTTCACAAACTTATTCAATTCTTTTCGAATAATTTTGTGAACGTTTAAAAGGGTTTTGTTGATTGAAAATATAATGTGGCTTTTGTTGAGGCGAAGAACAAAACTGGGGGAGCGACAACTGGAGTTCCTGGTACAATGGCAGCCACACCTCAAACCAACACAGCAACAGTTGCTGCGCCTTCGTCTGGAGCCGTCAGTAACGGGCCTCAACCCGACTACAGCGCTCAATGGGCGGAATATTACCGAAGTTTAGGAAAGCATAAGGAAGCTGAAGCTATCGAAGCGCAAATGAAACAAAAGGTATTTGAAGATGGTTAAAAATTAATCTATTGGTAAATTTAATTATTGTATTGCTTTTTTGAAAAGTTTTCTTTATATTTTAGTTTCTTTGTACAGATTAAAATAAACAAATACCAGTTCACTTGTTTTATATGTATTTGTTTCTACAGAATCAAGTGGGTGGTCAAGGGACGTCAAATCCAGCTAATGGAGGCGGCATGCCACCTGGTGTTCCTGGCCAAGCAACAACAATGCCTGGGTACCCCCAGGCTGCTGCTGCAGCAGCCTACGGTGCTTATCAACAGTCCGCTAGTGGTGAGTTTTCTATTTTAGTTTGAAATGTGCGGTGTTTTTATTGTTTCGAACAGGTTATTACGGCGCACCGGGGCAAGGAACCGCGCCTCAAGCTATACAACCTCAAGGACAGTATGGTTATTCAGGATATGGGTATGGAGCTGCTCAAGCGTCCAGCCAGGAAAATCAGCAACAGTGAGCTGTCATTTCAAAAGTGGTAAATATTTTTACAGATTTGCGTCCATTCGTTTATGTTTTTACTGTATCAATAAACACTGTCTATTGATTGTTAGGATTCTTGAGATTTCTTTGTATTTAACCCTTGAAACTTATTATTCCTCGTCTTATTATTATGACTATATTATTGAAGGGTTTTCGTGATTTTATATACATATACATGAATTTGTCTTGTGCCTTTTATGATTTCTCTGTTGCTTTCCAGAAGGTATATAGTTAAATGTTTTATTTTTATTACGGACGTATTTTTCAATTTCTGTGTGCAATTATTGTTTCATAACTTTTCAGGAAATCGTCATATTTCACCGAACGATATTTTTCCATCTATTTTTAATAATGACTACATTTATTGTTGACTATTTATGAAAAATGCAGTTTATTCTCGTCCTATCCATGATAAGTATTTTTCATTCTCAGGTTAGTTACGTCTTCGACGTTGTAATTTGAACCCTTCTTGTTGCTTGTTTGTTCAACTTCGAATGAATATTGGGATCTGATGAATATTTTGATTGTTTTTATCCTGTTTATGATGGTTATTTAATGCAATATTAGACGCTTTTGTGTCGGAACAATTTGGTTAAATAATTGCATTTGTTTTTACTTACAACAATTTGTGTAGGCCATACGTTGTTCCAGTTGTTGATCCTGAGGATACTACATGCTAGAAATTTAGTATTTACACTCATTTTGCTTTATTTTCTTACATGAAGTCCTATATGTATATTTATATTACAGTAGAACCTCGATAGTGTGAACATCGCATAACGAAGACCGAAATTTCGCTGTTGTATTAGTTAGAAAATGTTTTATGCGTCTAATCAATCTAGATAGGTTTCTTCATAGTTTGTTGTTACTGGTTGTTAGCTACGTTTTGATATTACTGAACTGTTGGGTATATTTTTATTAGATAGACTTACAGACAACTTAAATGTAGTAACCTAGATGGCAGAAGAGAGCATCGTCGACATTACTGACCTGATGGTTATTAAGAGAAAAAACCATTATGCAAAAAATACAAATTCTCAGAAACAAATGATATTATTTTATGCATTTGTGGCTGTCTTATAGTGGGCTTAATATAATGTTTATTTTGTTTTTATGAGTATTAAATATAACGTGCGTTAAAGCGAAGTTCACACTGTTGGATGTCTCCTGTACTTTTGAAATTGCTACGAAATAATGGTGTGTGCCTATATATTGCCTTTTGTGTACTTAAATTCGTAGCTGTTTGTTGTTTTCAAGTGAAACACCGCCACCTAACAACTTGTTTACGTTTTCGCAATTATTGCTTGTTAACACATCCTCTGCACATTCCTTAACTACATTATTAAGCTGTTTTTAGAGTTTATTGGGATAGACGGTATAGACTGCATTTTGATTCATATAATCTCTCCGTATAATTATTATTATTATATTATTTTATTGATTTTACAACTTCGTTTATGACAAATGAAACCATCTAGTCTGACAAGAACAGATGGACAGTGTTGGTTGTACATGCATATATGTAGAAATTTTAACAGGAACGGCTCAGAGAGCGTCACATGTCAGTCGTGTAATTATAATTTGCAGATTTTAGTTGGCGCTGAGCGAAGGGGGCCCTCCACGGTAGCCGAACTGCACATGACTTGCTCGCTACGTCCCTGTATAATTAGCGTTAATAATTAATATCGATAAGACTTTGTTGTTCGATTAAAATTAGTGTTTAATGATGGGAGCGGGCGACAATATGAATAGCTAACGTTTTCTTTTTGTATGCCCGACCGAAAAAATAATTGAATGGTGTCATAAAGTATGGTGGTGACAAATAACGACGCCGCAGTGGGAGACGTTTGTTCACATTTGTCCGGAAAGTTATCGTTTCAAAAGTACACTTGACGCATTATAAAATATTTATATATTTTTTTTTGCGTACTTTCGTAACAGGCTCGCATCTTTTTCATGATCTTTAGAAAAAAAGGAATAGTATTTTACAGTTTTAGCCATGTTTGTTATTATTGCATCTTTGTAATGTTATTAATTTTTTTCATTCTACATGTATTTAGTGCCACTGGTCGTTCCAAAAGATTCATAACATTTACACATATTGATGTGTTATTTCTTTATCTTGAATGCCTTTTGTTTAATAATTCGCAAATAACATTTAACTACCTATGTAAATGGTTCACATCGAACTCCAAGGTACATATGTCGGACCAGGCATTGGTAAGGTTTAAATTTAAATAACACTATTTTGTCTATTTTATTAATATCCATTTTTACTAATTTATTTTTGTTTAATTAACGTCAATTTTGGTTAGTAAACGTGAAAAATCAATTAGCTATACATATTATCTATNTGGATTGCATCAAACAGAATTTAATAATATTTTTAAATCATTTCAGATTTTTTTACTTTCATAATTTAGTTGGGACAAATTTGAGGTATTACAGTGAAAAAAAAAATTAACGCCTAATTAAGGTCGACCGTTAATCAAGTACAAATTAGCTTGTCCTTTCTTGAATTCGTAGGTTACTAGATTTTCACAGATGTTTTGCACCAATTTTTTTTTATCGGACACATTTATAAATTAAGTTTCAGTTGATTAGACCTTGTAATTTAGGTACTGGCGTGGGGTAAGAAAGATAAGTGTCACATGCTTGAAACTAGCGAAATCTTTCTTTGTAAGACCTTACTATTCCGAGTCTCTTTGATTTATTTGATAACTGTTAATACTATAAACAAATCCAGAGTACATATGTTCAGGTGTATTATCTAGATTAAGCAAGGAGAAATATTTTTTTTTTAAGTTTTATGTATATTATATAAAAATTAATTGATTTTTGCACTGTATGAGTCAAATATTATGTATAAGCTTACAATAATTAAATTTTGAAATATGTGTTCGTTATTTATTTTTCATTTCAGAGCGTCATCTGTAGGTAATGTATTACGAAAGTTCGAACATCGATAAGTACAAGTACCCTCTTCCAGTTGGCTGTTAATTTTTATACACATTGAATTTGCAAATTTACAATGTCCTATTTTCAATTTTTTAAATTTACGTTTTGAATTTATATCTATTGTAGTTTTTTATTTATGAATGTGATTTCTTTTTTTTTTATATTGTATTAACAAACACTTGGAATTGTTTATTATTGTGACATTTCTTCTTATATTATTATTCTGATTATTTTCTTTGATTTGGTGAAATGTTTTGCAACGTAATGGATGATGTGTTGTACCAAATTACTACTAACATTATTGAAATTTTATTTGTGTGCAAAAATATCAGTTTTGCTATTATAAATGTTGTTTATTTGGCCTTAGGCTGAATGCACAAAAGAGCCTTTAGGCGTGTGTGCGACGAGTAATGGTTATGGGTATGACGAATTAAGTGGCACAAGGAAAACACAGCTTTGCACCTTAAACACTATCTACATAGGTACACAACTTTCTAGTTCCAAAATGTAAGTAAAACGCCTTGCCAAGTAAGTATCCCTGTATGCCTTGATTATCCACTGATGTTTATTTTCCTTATAATGACAAATTAGTAAGAACTTTTTAAACGTATCTCGCTCTTAAAACACAAAATTCCACGTAGAAACATCTAACTTAGTCTAACTGAGGGCGACTCTTCTAAACTTTTGTGGAGTTTTGGGTTTTACTATTTTATTTAATTCGGTCCTGTAGAACTCCATTTAATATTCTTGTACGTTGCTCTTAACAAATTACATTTTCCATAAAGTAATTGAAAGGTTTAACTGATAATGTATCGTTATCAACTTTTATATAGGTACCTATGTCGCATTTTCATTACAATTATTGCGCGAATCAGCTTTATATACTTAATACTTTTAAAATATGTCCTATCGTTTGTACTAATTTGGTGTGTTGAAAGGACGTCGGTACTTTCTGTAAAGATGTTGTCTTTGAACAATTTTGAATTTTTTGCCAGTGTTAGAATCAATCAATGTTTATTTTTAATATAACTGGAGAATTTTTTTCTTCTGTTGCGTTTCGGACCTTAACTTTTTTTTGCGTTATTAGGGGTACTAATATAGGGTTATATTAGGATCCGAAATCTCTAAACTGACCCGAAGGTACTCATTTTGGTACTATAATTTATGCTTTTTTCTAATTTGGCAATTTTCATGTTAATGTAAATGTAATATGCAATTAAATGTTATATTGTAGACTTCCAGGTACTGATACCGTCGTTTACTTGTTTTCAGTAGTGTACTGCATAAAGATAAAGACGTAAGCAGGTATTTTTACTTAAATATACATATTTTTCGCTTTAGTTAATGTATTAGAACAGTTAAAACTGATTAAAACAACATATAGCTAATAACATATTGCTCAAAATTATTTTGATAATAGGTATTTAAATTAACTTGATTTGATTTTACCAAAATAAAATGTTTTAGCGATGGTTTCTGATTATTACTGTTACAAGTCACATGGGTCCATTAGAATTTGTTTTTTATTATTTTAAATTGTTTCACTGCTTTTTTACAATAATTTATTTTAATATAACACAAGTTCAAACATCGATTTTAATTATTTATTATTCATTTATACGTGTATATTTTATGTTTATTATTTATTTCGCGATTGACCAAGTTTCACACATGCATATTGTAGTTTTAATATTTTCTACGTATTGATATATTCCGTTTTTTGTGTTGGCGGTTTTAACGTAAAGTGCTTCATGTATTGCTTATTTTTACATTTTCATGTAGGTACAGTAGAGGTGAGTACCTATATGATATCTCGAATTGTATCGCGTTTATTTTCTATATATAGTTTGTGTATTAATATGGGTCAGAATTACACATTTTTGATGAATTTTTTGGTAAGTATAATTTTAAGAGAATTTGCCGATTTTAATGTTTTTATTGAATAAATATGTACCGTTTGGTTCCCCTTTTTTGTTGGAACAGTTACTGTTTTTCCAGGTCATATTCAAGGCAATGTATGAGGTTTCTTCAGGTTTTTTGTCTTACAACGTGGATTTTTTTCTTTTGAGTAATAGGTGCAGGATAATCCATTGTATATATAATTACTTAATCCTTTTGCAATTTTACTAGTAAAATTTGAAACAAAAGAATTTCAGTTACATATTCATATATATCTTTGGAAAGGGCTGTAATAACGTAATAATAGAAAACAATTAAAATTATCGCTCAGCCGTTATCGAAATTTTGGGAATGACTAGTTATTGAAACTGTATTTAAATTACACTTTTTGGTCTATTTTAATTTTTGCATATAATTTAGTTGCAATAAACGATAAAGTCTGACGAAGTTTTTTTTTATTTCCAATTATCCCAATAAGTTCCAGATGCGCAGTATTTAAATTTAATCAGTGACGACTTGTTGCAAAAGATTAAGGAAAGAAAGGGATTGATATGATCAAAAGTCCGAGAGTTTGTTACCAGTTATAAGAAAAGTTACACATAAGTAACCGTTTCAAAAATTAATACATGCATTTTGTAAATGATTTATAAATAAAATAAAGAATGCTTCATCAAATTTGCGCGGTCAACTCCACTACTAAGTGATTTTTTACTGTGAAGCGACTTATCTATCTAAATTCGTTTGAAGATTTTCGATTTACGAAATGAGCTATAGAAATATTAAAATTACTCCTGAAGTAATGCAATTTAAAGTAAAAGTAAAGGGTAAGACAAATTAAAATAAACAAGGTAATTTCTCGTATTTATTACATTACCTATTTACAAAGTTTTTGTTTATTTTTATAGTACATATTTCTTAGGTGCTATTTATCAGTCTTTCTGGAAAATTTATAGATGTATAATAATAAGTACTACTTACAAAATAACTTTCAATCACATTCCTAAACGTTTAACCGATTGTGATCTTATAAATGTATCAGTTCTTACATTACGAAAAGACTAGACGTATGACTAGAATTCGATGTCAAAATCTATCAAAGACTAGAAAAGATTATGGTACAATTAGGTACTAATTTTTTTTATTTAATCCACTGTAAGTTTACGCAGTTTTTAATTCATTTAGGCCCGTCTTTTCTTGTGCTTTGCTTAATTATATATTTTAGTAAAATATTACGTAATGATGTAATTAATCTTTCTCGTTCGTTTCGCGATACGCTTGTGAATTTACTACCGCGTATTATTTTATTGACGTGTTGATCAAACCTAAAGTAGATTTTATTAAGGTTTATTTCGGAAAATTGGTCTCAAAAGATGGGCGCCGTTTTCTGTATTAGGTACTATTAATAACAGAAAGTACTTGTTTATTTAGGATTCAGGAGAAAGGTACTTAGATACCTTTATTTATTTCTTTATTTTTTGAAGAAATCTGGAAAATTGTATAACTAAACCTCTTCTAAGAATTTTTTCTTTCATAAAACGGAGACCCTTCGACTTTGTTTTGTGCGTTTACATTAGACTCGTTTTTCATCCTTCGTTACACTCTTTCTCTCATTAGTAAGGGAAAAAATGTTTTTCAGTCGTGTGCACAATATCATCAAATAGGATTAACATTTGTGTTCTGTTCATTTTCTATTGCCTATTCATTAACTAACAAATTTTAAAAATATAGAACAATCACTATTACAATGATGAAATGTTTATCTTCCATATGAAATACATTTAGGGGTTGTTCATAAAATACGACACTCAGAATTTCATTTTCTGGAGCCTTCTACCCCACTCTTTATGCTAAGTCACACTTTCAAATATTACCTAAAGCTGATCCACCCCTAACAAACTGTTTCTTGTCATTAAAAATGGTTAATTCTACACGAATTTTCCTCTACGAGAGGAAATAAGGTTAAAACAAAACGAAAAAATTGCATATTAATATGAAGGAATTGCATTGTTAAGTTTGGTTTTCTATAGGACTCCGTTTAAAATGACATATCGTTTATTATGATTGATTCTCATGAAATCATATCCGGCTATAGTGACCCAAATGATTAATAATAACATTTTCACTCATTTTCCTGACGCTTCTTATGTATATTGATATTACAATTCATCGTTCCTTTTCTTTTTCTGTTAATAAATGTATACAATTTGTAGTTTTTCTCTCTATTAAACTAAGACTATGCTTCGTATGACGCCCGCTTAGTATGACGTGCTTGTCAATTCGATGTCATTATAAGCGGATTCTACTGTATGTTTATTTGTAGACTTAAATACTTGAGAATAACTTTCGATCGTAATGAAAAATTTTAAGAACTGCTAAGTTTAGAGAAAAATTAATAGTCAACGTCACAGACTCTTTCCCTCCTTGTCATGTCTTATCACGGTAATTATTTACGAACATATTTTATGAACGGCCCCTTGGTAACTTCTCAGCTTTGTATTCATTATTATCTAACGTATCTACATACATGTTTAAATACAGATACACATTATGTATTTAATTTGAAAGACTTCATCACTTTTGTTGCATCTTATAGTAGTAAGTAATACTATTCCAGTGTTCTTTCGGTAATCAGTCCGATGATACCCTTAAGGGCCTTTCGCAAGTGTGGAGGAATTATAAGTTTTCCGTAGTTCTTAATTTTCCGTGGCTGTCGACTTCGTACGTGTCTCTCGCGACAATTTCACCTCCAACATTTTTATATTCGGGCCGACACCTGTGGCTGTGCTTCGATCCGGACCTTACTAATGTAAGTTCTACTGAAACACAAGTTGTTAGCACGGAACTTCTTTGCCCGTTGGCGCTTATACTGCTGTTACTTTTACAACTTTTCTTACCGTTAGGCTTTTTGAATCGGGGTGCAGACTTGTACGGCAGAGGTTTTCCGCCGATAGCGCCCTTATGTCGTTCAGCCCTGTCCTTGCACAGTCCATATCGGCCCATTAATATAAAAAAGTCCCTGCGGTATTGCTGCGTCACTAACGCGTACAGTAATGGATTCGCGCACGAGTTCAGCGGATAAAAGAACACCAGCAGTATCTTTGTTTGCGTCACCGTAATCAGGGGATGTCCCAAAAGAGCTGTTAGACCGAAAAACGCTATCGGTGACCAGCATGCGAAATCTGTGAATACCAAAAGGGCCATCCTTTTGGCTATGGTTAAGTCTGGTCTGACGCACGTTATCGAGCGGGTTGTGGTACCAGTTTTTATCGATTTATACATACTCCCGTAACATCCACATATTAAAATGAATGCAAAGGCATTGAGAATCAATAACAATGAAAGATAAACTACGTCTATTTTTCCTTTGGTTTCGAGGGGTAAACAAATGCTAGTTTTGGAGTAGCTGCTGACTCCCACCAGAGGAAGAAGAGCCATTACAATTGCTGTAAGCCATCCTGCTATCATCGCGCGGATCGTAGTCCTTAATTTTAGACGTCTGTTAAGTTGAATTGCCCACGTAATCGTATACCATCGCTCGGTCGTGATTATGGTAAGTGTGTATACTGATAAAACGTTACCAAATACTGTTAAGAACCCTGCAATTCGGCATCCGTCACCTGCAACAAAATATAACGTAATTAAACTCTAATAAGTATTATGAACCGTTTTAGAAAATACTACAAATGGCGCAGTAAACGCCATCCATGCTACACTTTAGGATTACGTATGCTCCAACAAGGTCCACTTGTGTGGATATCTACTTGCTGAAAACGAATCCCGGCGTAGCCAACCTCAACGTGATAGGCACGTTAGCTTAATCGAATAAAATAATTCGAAGTGGTCTGTCTGTATTCTGTCGAAACTGCAAGACGCGGATCACGATTTCGATCTTTTTGGATCTCATCAGCGCGTCGCAGGCAACTCCGACAGAACGCAGACCAACTTTTACCTGCTGTCTTAACAGTGCGTTTTAGAAAATACTACAAATGGCGCAGTAAACGCCATCCGTAGCACGATGCTACATTTGATTATTATGAACCGTCTTAAGGGATTAATGAAATTAGAAAAGTATGACATATTCTGCAGAAAAAATACAACTTCCAACCAGTGGAAGATATTAGAATATTTTAAAAGCATCATTTAGACTTACCTATTTGCCAATCGATTGCATAATTAAAGTAGACCCCAATAGAACAAGCGTCTACAATTGCAATGAGCAGTAGGTGTATTCCAATACATAAATCGGCAATGGCCAAGTTGCACATTAAAAATTTCGATACGGTTAACCGAAAATGAGAGGTGCATATGACTATAATTACAAACAGGTTGCCAATTATAGCGATCGATGATATAAACCAAACAGGTATCCTTAAAATCCAATTGCCCATTATATCCTCGCATGGATTGAAAGCGTCTGGAGCTGGATGGCATTCCACCTATAAAAATTAATTGTCTTCTAATCAGCAATAATGTTTTTTTTTGCTTTTAATGCATTATTTATTTAAATTTATGTAAGTTTTAAGTTTTAAATTTAGACTTCTGGGTTTGAACCACGTAAGAATGGAACAGTTATGTATCAGACTGTTGGTAGAAATATGAAGATCTCTGAAGATTGGTAGAGGTAGTTTAAAATCACATGGGTCATGGTGGGTTGCGCAGTCGTAAAACTCCGCTTATTCATTGATTTCCACTTCTAATGTGTACAAAACAAACGACCCAGGACCTTTTAAAATACCTCCAACATCTTGAAGTGGCACAAACCCAGAATCCTGAATTTTGTACGGATAAATGCAAGTCGTATTTACCTCGAGATAGTTGATCTTAACATGTCCGCAGTTTGCCAAAACTGGCGCTATTCCGTTAAGAGATATTGTACTATTATGAAAGAATTCCTCTTGGTTCCAATGATCTTCCGCGCTATTTGCGCTGATGTTGTACGAAAACGAAGTGCACTCTTTAGCCAATTTTCTTTCGAATTGTTTGTGTCTTTCGTATTCCCAAGGATTATGTGTATGAGGAAATTTGAAAGCGCAGCAATGGTAGGGGTAGGTTAACCATGCCTCCTTGATAAACTGGAATTAAAAGAATTTTACGTGCCATTGAACAAAAAACGCGACATGCTTTCATTAATCGGGTTGCTTATTATGTAGTTGGTAATTAAATCGTTTGCATAATTTAAGTAACTATGATCTAGAACAAACAGAATAGCTCAAAACCCCAACGCCAAAACACGACACTGTAGCTGTCCGAAGCACTTTTCGGTAACAAAGTTACCTTCTTCAGGGACTGAAGTAAACTGAGCTATTCTGTTTGTTCTACAACAACCTTCATATTAACTATGATCTCTTAAAATTTCACTCGATCTAATAATCAAATCTGTTCCATAACCTAATTACTTTATAAATATATATAAAGTTGTACTTTTTACAACGTCATTAGATACAGTTTGTTATAAACCGTGTTTACATTTTATGTGAGAGTAGGTTTTTACGTACTCCAGATAGTATTACTGAATAACAGGACCACACAGAGATAACAAGTTCTTAATAGCCAATTAATACTATAGGATCTAAAATTACATGTTAGGTAGGTATCTGCTGTTTAGGATCTGTTTTTTGTTTTTGCATTTGCATTTTACCTTTTTTACTGTAGTAGAAGTTCTATTTTTACTTCGGTATCATTTACTGTTTCTACGTTTAGGTGAGTAAAAATAAGATACTCTTATATTACTTAATTGTAAAGCTTTTAAAAGCTGACATTACAACCTTACTTCTTAATATATAATGCGCGCCTTTATCATCTATTATTTAAATTTACGAAAAAATAAGTCAATTCTTTCATGCAGATTTCTCTGTAGGCGTTTATATTTGCGTTATGTTTTTCTTAAATGGGGTTCTTTAAAGTTCAAGAGACGTAGATTAGCGAATGCTAAAAATGCTTTGTAAACTCTTGCTACTGCTAATATTAAAAGGACACAGAGTCAACGAAAGGGATTGAACCATTGAACTCGTATGTGGAGTAAAATGGATCTATTTAATAAAATTCCGTAGAGAATATCTACCACGTGAATAAATATGCGCATGTTTTTGGTGAATTGTGGATAGCAAAAAAAGTACGTTTTCATACATCTCAAAAACCGAAAAAAATCGCTCGTTTGTAGATACATGACGATCCAGTAATCCTGACTATATTCACATACAAGTGGGTATTGAGAATGTTGAATGAAACTATCTTAAAAATTGCTTTGTATTATTGGGCTAAACACAAAATTCTTATGAAATACAACTGTCATCTTTTTGTTGCCATTTCTTTCTCAACAATTGTATAAAGTAAGAAATCAAGATGCGTTTCGTTTCAATTATTACTCTGAAGAAACGTAACCCTGAAGGTGCCTCATAGTTGGGGCGAAACGTAGGCTTTTGGTCTCACATAAATAAAAAATCTTTGCCCCATACGTAGCTTGATTTCTTGCTCTATACAACCAACTTGTGCTGAATCATAAAACAGTATGCTTCTCATGGTAAACATAGCTAAAGCTGAATGACAGGTCATAACAATAATTCTTATTATGACAGGGATGAAGGGCGGTGTTTTATGAACGCAAAATAGAATAGACCATTCGGTCTTACGATTCAGTATTTTGTCTGACTCATTTCAAGTGAGGATCTCTACACTGAAGAATTTTTGGATTGTGGATTTTGCTGTACTACGTACTCTCAATAGGTTGAATCTATGAAGGTTTCAAGTAATGTAACTCCATATTTAGAAATAAAATAAAAACACAGTTTACAAATAATTTATTATAACCACTATAATTATTTCGACACACTGTGCCTTCTTCAGGTGATGAAGATATAAACTCAAGTTTATATCTTCACCACCTATACTGGTTATAATAAATTATTTGTAAACCCCAAGTGTTTTTATTTTACTCTCAATAGGTCTTCCGCCGATAAGCAATTTGGATATTCAAACTTTGGTACCTAGTAGAAATGATTATTCCTTAAAAATAGCATTTTAATTGAAGCCATATTTCTAATAGTAATAGTAAAGAGTGTTTTTTTAATAAAATTTTGGTTGAGACATTCTCTCCGAACCATCGACAGTTTAAATATTTATGCACGGTGTTAAAAAAGGCTTTCCGGAATGAGACTCAACATCATTTATTCTATACCTATTTAAATCTGTTTTACACATTTGCAAATCCTTTAAGAGAAATTGAACCCAGTAGGAAATGGTGTAAAAAGCTCTCGGTTAACACTGGAAAAATACCTAGGCAAAAATTGACCATTAAATGTACTTGAGAAAGTATTGAATATTTGTCGTTTTGTCCGTTCATGAGGATTTTCGTTTAACCTAGTTTTTCTCTTAAATTAGTTAGTATTTATGAAATACATAATGCAAATCCTTCTGATAAGCTAATTTATAAAAGAACTACTAATTTCTCTTTAGAAATGCGTTTTTTTTTTAAATGTTTTGTATTAATTTGTATAGAGGCTGGCTTTATTTGCCAATAAAAGTGGTTCCTTGTTAGGTCTTTATAGCATCACCTTGAAAAATTACAATTGGTCCTGGATGTTTCTTTATCGCATATGATTATCATTTTTCACGACGCTTACGACATCTTACGACCGAATGCTAATATTAAAACACCCCAAGCACGTCAAACAATTGCTTGATTTTTAATTAAAATTGCGATTAAACGACAGCGTCCTGAATATCAAAAGTAGGCGCGTTAGTTAATTCTATCCTTTAATTAATTTAATATTTATCCAATTCCAGGACGTCGGATCTCGAGAGGACATTATCATTACAAACTTAAACCTACGCAGAACATTATTATACAGTGAAATAATTATATATTGCGTAAATCTTTTAAGGTCATGACCGCTATCGGTCGGTATAATTAGCTCTTCGGTACTAATTGAGTCTTGGCACATTAGCGATCCTTTTTTCTTTGCTAGTCTTAATTTAAGTTCTGACTTTATTCAGATTAAAATTCCTTGGAAAAATAAAGGATTTTTGTCAGAAAAAAGTAACTAAAACTTAAATGAAAAACTGAAAAGTTGAGTCCTTTTTTTATATACTATTTCGTTTACTAGAAAAGATGGTGATAACATCAATAATACCTTTCTATTATGTACAAGTTCCAAATATGCCTATTCCATATCATTTTTCATTTCAGATACGAACGCTTCTGATTTGATGGATTGCATCAAACAGAATTTAATAATATTTTTTAAAGCAGTTTACGTCTATTATTAATGTATGCACATCATTCGTTATCATTTGCGTTCTTAAAGCTCGTGCTTCCTTAATTTTTTTGTCTTAATTTCGCACGTCGTATATACTCCGTTCCATTAATAATAATTTCATTAGCAACTGACGATGGAAGAACGAAAACGATTTAGAAACAAAGGAGAAGAAAAAAATGAAAGACACTATCCAACGGCATCTTACGTCATTATAGGGTTTATTACGATTTTAATTTCAACAAAATCTACTCGTCAACAGATCTGCTTCAGACAGGCTTCTCGTAAAATAGATCCTTGTATGCTAGCACCAGGACAAGATAAATGTTGTTCTGTAAACCGGCTTTTCAAAGATACACACAAACGAGGAACTTCCATAAACGCGTAATGCACATTGCACTTTATTTCCTTAGGAATTCTGCTGTCATATACGTAACTCCCGTCTTTTGTCAGTCTGTAGTTAATAGCGTGGATGTTATGTGTAATTTGCGGACAAACATTGAGCCACCCCCATCTCATGATATATCCTGCAACTCCAATTTGTTTATGTGTGTTCTCTACATAAACCCATCCAGTTTATTTCGGATCTGAAAATGCTATGTCGTTGTTATGCAATTTAAGTTAAATGATTTCTTAAGCGAAGCGTATCCAAAATAATGAAATTTTAATTTTTAAGGATTCTGAACTGATGTTGTCCTGATTCGGGTTTAAAGGCCTCTAACTCCGATGTTGAATGTGGAAGAACCTCTGAAAAAGCTCTCCACTAGTGCTAGCGAAACGTTGGGAAACAATTTCAACCGACGACAGTCTTTAGACCCGAACCAGGACAACCTCATTTCACCAACTTGCCGCGAAAGCCCTTACCAATCTTTAAGGTTTCTAATGAAAAAATGCTTCAATCTTCAAACATAATTTTCAAATTAAAAAAAAAGGGTTAACAGTAATAAAAGAGTATGTTAAAAAGTTACATTTTTACTTCTCAGTACATTACAATAATTAATATTATATATAAAAGAAATTATGAGTGCTGTCAACACAGGGCAAAGTAGTATTACGTAGTTAGTATCAGCAATTTCTTATGCTGAAATGTACGATGTGTTGCATATCTATTTACAAACAATTCCTTTAAATTTTAATCTTTGATTACTATACATCTATCAAAAACCATGATGGCCGACATTAGTGACAATGCGACAACAATTGAAAAAAGATGATGGCCGACAACTGCAACAATTAGAAAAGAATGATGGCAGACACTACGTCATAGTGAAGTAATAAAAATGGCCGGAGCAGGGGGATGAACTACTTATCATAAAAGTTATTTTCAAAATAATTGCGCCACGCAGTCTACTGTCACTATCAACCATGGTGAGGTTAGGAAGGCTATAAGGGGAGGAGGAGGCCTATGTATCGCGTTATTATTATTATTATTAAAACAATTTTTGAAAATGTTTTAATTTTAATTGCATTAATTACAACAGTGGTATATATTCATTAAGTTAAGATCCAAACAACATTGAATGTTTGAGTTTCACTTTGCAAAGTAAAACATTTAACTTTCTATGTCTTTTACAATATAAATACATTCTTTTACTTATAATAAATTGATTGAGTTTCTTCAGTTAAATTGCGTTGAACTTTTTGCTTATCACGAGTGTGTCAACAACACACCAGAAAATAACTTATTGCTCAAGTAACAAATAGAGGGATGAAAAAGAAAATGCGACGATTACGTATTATTGATGCCTTTTCTTTTGCAACGTCAAAACTTCTTCAAGGTTTTTTAAAAGTTGTGGAACTGTTGGAAGAAAAAATGTTTA